TGGTTACTCACACAAGCTTTGTGCCACCGTTCCCCTACATGTTGTGCAGGTAGTACAGTGTTGAAGATAAAGGGTTTGTGACTGACTTGGTGTTTACATTTATCTTTTGGTAGTGTGCAGAGGACTTGCCTATAACAAAGATGCTAGAATGCAGGGAATGAAGGCTCTATGTAGGCACCAGCTGGACATCTCCATGTTCAATTAATTGTCTGAGCGTTGTCTTCAGCAATGGGGCTTTGCTGTTAGTTTGTGGAGAGCAACCAATAACAAACTATAGTCTTGGTAACAGCCTGAGTTGTTTGGGGATTCCCATGGGGTCCCTTTGGCCAACAACTCAATTAGATGTAACCCAGTCTTGGTACTGGAAGCTTTTTTGGTGACTCTGTTTCCTTATGGGGGTCATTCTTATGCAAAGCACCCCAGGTGGTGGCCTGTCTACTCCATCCCTTTGCTAGGCACCTGCCTCTGTCCTGCTGAGGTCTTCCAGTCTTAAAATTTTAACAAGGGCCTCACAGCCTCGAATGACCTCTGCCTTACATGTCACATGCATCCATTTTTAAAGGGTGATTATGTCCAGATTTGACTCATGGCTCCCATTTCCCTCTGCCTGCGGTTCTGGGTGTGCACTTCCCCTCAGGCCCTCCCCAGCTGCCGGGCCCAGTGGCCACAGTCGGTTCATAATGTCTCACCTCCCAGCACACATGACAACCCTCCTTGTCCCCATAGTTTAGCAGACTGACCTTGACTGCTGAGTAGGCCGTTCCTGGACTCCTCTCTGTTCCTCTTTGCAATTAAAAAAAAAAAAAAAAACAACCAAAAAACTAAAGGATAATTTATACCCTACATGATCCCCCTTTTAAAGGGGCACTGTATTTAGAGTTGTACAACTCTCACCGCAATCACTTGTCACCCCAAAAGGAAACCTTGTGTTTATTAGTGGTCACTTTCTCCCCCCTTTCAGCCTAGACAGCCACCCATCTACAGCACCACAGTGATTTGCCCATCAACGTGTCTTTTCAGTGCCTGCACTGAAACCTTCCATGGCTGTAACCTGGGCATGTACACTCCCAATCCAGAGTCTCACGGGCTGTGCCAGGGCTCCAGGAGGCTCCCCATGCTCACAGCTCACACTTCCATACCCTCATACTTCACACCTTCTCAGATTTCCTACCATCTCCATTCCCCCCCCCCCCCCCCCCCCCCCCCCCCCCCGTCTTCACACCTCACACCTCACCCCACATCTGTGTCTTCACACCTTTCCCCCAATGCTTTGTACCTTCTGCCTCCCTACACCCTGTCAGATCCCACAGACCCACAAATCCAAGCACCTGTCTTCTATATCTTCACAGCTTTTAGCTCTTCACACTTTCCCAGGTCTCCTTACACTCCCTACTTCTCAACCTCACACCCCCCCACACTTCTCTGTCACCTCCCTTTCTTTCTTCATCCCTCCTCACATTTTACACCTTTCTTTATCTCCTTATACTTTCTATACTCACGTCTTGACACTGTCCCATACTTTATACCAGTTCCTACAACCCCTCACACTTCCCTCATCTCCTCAGACCTTCCCTCATCTCCTCAGACCTTCCCTCATCTCCTCAGACCTTCCCTCATCTCCTCAGACCTTCCCTCATCTCCTCAGACCTTCCTGTACCTCACACCTCTCCACACTTTCCCTCATCTCCTAAGACCTTCCCTCACCTCAGAGCTTCTTGTACCTCACATCTCCTCATGTTCTCAGACCCTCCTATACTTTACATCTCTCCACACTCTCCTTTGATAACCCCTGGTCTTGCACCCTCCAACCTGTAACATCTCCCTACACCTCCCCTCATCTCCTAGAGCTCCCTGTACTTCACATCTTATACCAGTTCCTCACCTTACACATCACATCTCTCTACACCCATTCAATGCCTCCCTTTAGCTCACACCTACCACACCCTCAGATCTCCTCACACTTACCCACTTCTCCTCAGACTTTCCTGCACCCCACACTTCCCTGTTTCTCCTCAGACCTTTGCACACTTCACACTTCCCTACTTCTCAGACCTTTGCACCGCCTATGTCCTCACTTCCTCTCAGACTTTCCTGCCCCTCACGTCTCTCTACACCTCATTACCTGCCCTCATGCCTGGCTAATCTCGTGTCTCCTTCATCTCACACTTTCTTATACTTCTTCTCTTCCCTCTTCTCTTTCTTCACTGGTGCTTGTTTAGGGACACGCCTGTCTGTCCCCAGGTCAGGAACCAGCTTTTCCTTTCCATGAGGCCAACCCGACCGCCTGATGCCCACCCCCTGTGAGTCCTTTGACTGGCCCATTAGAATTATTTCCTTAATCTCCTGTTGAATTCGCCCTTAACCTTAGATGGTGGGGGCGTCTTCTTCCTTTACCTCCTATGATCTGACTTTGTATCCATCAGCATATCTGTGCTGTCAGAAGCTCTGTAAACTGCAACAGAGTGATTAATCTTTGTTTGCCTCCCCTACAGGAGTTTCCTCTGCTTCCAGCTGAGTTCCGTCCAGTCAGTAGGAGTCAGTGCAGGCTCATGGAGATGGGTAGTGGGATAAGAGGTCCCAAAGACCAAGAGGTCATGTGAGGCTGAGTTTTCCTCAATCTTTAATGAAGCCCCTGCAGACAGAGTGGGTGCACAAGACAGCCTGGACTTACCATTACTATTTTACAACTCAGGTCAGATGCATATGTCTTTCAATTCACAAGGACAAAATTATGTTCAAAATATATTGATGTATGTATTGATATATAAAATATCAAATATCCATTCTCACGTCACTTATATTATTTCAGTTTCAGTTGTCAGGAATTTCTGTAAACTTTAGGGAACTGAAGTTTAAAGATGAAGGAAGAGTTCTGAGCGAGCAGAGCTTAAGGAGCCTGGCTGAATTCAGACAAGACGTGGGTGGAGCTTTTTGTTTTGACCTTGATTTGTTGGCTTGGGAGGATCATGGTGGTGTCCTATCATCTGGAATGACTCCTTCCCTTCAGGCAGGAATAAGACCTTAATGGTGAGGTGAGTTAGGGTTGGTAGGTTAGTGCCATCTTTGGTGTGGCAGGTGAGGGGTGGGGCTAGGGTTGGTAGGTTAGTGCCGTCTTTGGTAGTGGCAGGTGAGGGGGAGGGCTTTCCTACTTAATGCATTACTTCAATTCACATCCGGGGCTAAAACTTGGATGTCATTTTAATCTTGCTCTTCCTAATTATTGTTGGCATCATTGTTGGTATTGTTACTCCTTCTCAGGCTGCTGTGAACATCCCGTCTGTACTGCAGGGCAGTGGTCCCCTGTGTCTGTTCCCTGAGCAGCCATTAGGAAGACTGAGTGATTAAATAAGTATGGAAAAGTGCTGTGCAGCGTGTTTCTTTTGGAGACTGGTGTTATAGCAGTCTTTTAAAGGCTCTGGGAATTCCTGTAGGGGAGTGTTTCCTGGGCCCCCAGGATAGATCAGTAGGTAAAGATATTGCTGTCAAGACTGATGGCCTGAGTTTGATACCTGGGACCCACATGGCGGACTCAAAGTTGTCCTTTGACCCCCACCTGCATGCATGGCACATCCTTGCCCATATACATGCACACGCAAATAATATAAAATAAGCATTTTTCTAATGTTTCTAAATGTATTTGCTCATATGTATTTGCCCATTTCCAATACTGTTATTGATTACCGGTTCTGCTGGAACAGCATAAAGGCTCCATCTCAGAGCCAATTCTCACAGGTGTGGTTGCTGTGCTGAAGCAAGTGAATCTGTCCAAGGCTTGTGTGCTGGACATGGGAACCCTGTCCTTTATGTGGGACTGAGAAAGGATTTTCCTGGGCCTTGGCTAAGGTCATTGGGTCCCACCTGACTCCATTCAGTGTGCCCTTCGTGGAAAGAGGGCAGGAGAGCTGTGGGGCCAGGGACTTCCTGAAGGAAAAAAAAATGTTTCCTTATTTATAAGGTGCATAGTTGGTAGGGCTCAACTACCCGTGGGACTTTGGGGCTGTTTTGTCTCTCTTAAGTGAAGACATCATTCTGCAGGTTCTAGAGAAAACATTTGCAACATTGGCCAAGGCTGGAAGTGAGCTGGGATCCCACAGGAGCCCTGGGTTCATCCGCTTAGAGTCTCTCTCATGTCTTCCTGTGCTAGGCCACACCTGCAACACTGCTGAGAGCAGAGATGATTTGGTGACCCAGTCTGAGGCTGAGTCCACAGCCTATAAGTCAGTGTCCCCACTAGCTGCAGTTACAGGCTTTTTTATAGTTCTTTATATCCGGACCCTTTTTCTTCAGTGGGACTGTAAGCCATTGAAGGGAGGGCTGGTCTTTGCCTTCTCTTTGCTGATAGCATTGTGCACGGAGCTGAGCTAATTGGATAGGGCTACTCAGTTGTGCCCTAGCTGGCAATGGACCTCCGGAGGCACCATGGGCAGGGATGGGTAGTCTCCCAGTAAAGCCTTTAGAGCGTTAGGAACTTGTAGATGGTGAGTTAAAGAAAGTTACATGCACATCATCAAATGGAATGATATATTTCTATTATAAGACCATATGCCCTTTTTTGTATGTGACAGTCTTGCCTTGGCTGGCCTTGAACTTTTGAATCTCCTGAGTGGGGATGGTGGGCATATACCATCATACCTGCCTCAAAAAAACTCCTTAAAAAATAATGTAGTTTCTGTCTTTTCTTCATTGGCTACTTTAACAAAGTCTCTTGTTTTTTTGTTTGTTTGTTTGTTTTGTTTTCCCCCAGTACTGGGAACCTAGCCCAGGACCTTGCACAAACTTGATTAAGGCACGTAATTGAGGGCACTTAGTTTACATTTTGAGACAAGGTTCCACTGAGTTTCTGAGCTGACCTTAAACTCACTTTGTAGGCTAGGCAGTCTTTGAACCTGGTACACTCTGTACCTCAGCCTCCTGAGGACTGCTTCTCAGTGTCAGGAAAAGTACCTGGTGCCTGCTAAACACTTTGTGCCCCAACCTTCCATGTTTTTCTGTCATTGCAGGTGATTTTCAAAGCCAAGTCAAAATATTCTCCAGAATTACTCAAGTATCGGTAAGTACCCTGGAATGTTGCTTCTCAGACGAAGGTGAAAGTGTATATGCACCCTGTTTTATCAGCTGGAGTGTGCACATTTACACCTCTTAACACAAAACAACCTTGCAGTGGTCCTGTTTGCCTAATAGAATGCTCTCCTTGTTCATGAAAGCCTGCACATTGATAGGATTTACTGGAGTCCTGTGGAACAGTGTACACACACACACACACACACACACACACACACAACCAGGTTTGCCTTGCACTCTCTGTCCTCTTTCCTCAGCTTCCTTCTGGCTGGCTTTGCAGGTATGCACTGTCATGCTTGCTTCAAACACTATTTAAAATGTAGCTTTTGTTCGAGTGCTAGCCAACGTGAAGGAAGCCTTGAGTTTAACCCCCCAGTACCATAAAAACCAGATGTGGTGCACATCTATGATCTTTGCACTCTGAAGGAGGAAGCAGAAAGATCCGAAGTCCAGAGTCATCTCAGCTAGATACCAAGTTTGAGGCTTTTCTGGTTTATTCTAGGAGCCCAGAAGAGGGACATGGTCTGGAGGGACTCCTTGAGTGACATGTCCAGTTTATGGGAAATGGTGACAGTTGCAGGTTCCTCCTCCATGGTCTGTGGCCTTCCCTGCATCGTCAGAGAAGTCAGTCATATTTGTGTCAGGTGTGATGGTACACGCTTGTAATCAAAGTGCTTGGGATACTGAGGGAGAAGCCTGTGTTTGAGGCTTTCCTCCCTGTGCTGTGTAGTGGATTTTGAGCTAATCTGGGCTAATGGGACCCTATTTCATCAAAGGCCAGAAATAATGATCAAGTTTGGCTATGGGGACATAGTAATAAAGGGCCTCAGGGAGGGCTGGGTCACACTGCATTGTTTGTGGGCTTGTCCCAAAGCACTCCTCCACTCCTCACAAAACACTGGACAAGTGAATTATCGTGTCACCACAAAAATGTTCACAGATTTCACTTAAATACAGTTGGCCTTCCACATCCATGGATTCAACCATCAATGGCTCAAAAATACTCAGAGATAGGCTGATTCAATGGCTAGGTGGGGGAAACGTGTTTGTTGTCAAGCCCGATGACCTGAGTACTGTCTCCAGAACCCACATGTAGCAAGTGTAAAGAGAACTGGCTACCATAAGTTGTCCAATTTCCATATGTACTGTGGCATTTGTACCCACATACATAAATACTATACACCACACACACACACACACACACACACACACTACTCCCACCCCCTGCAAACAAAACAAAACCCTCAAAAAGTTCAGTACTGAACATATACAGATATTTTCTTGTCAGTTATTTACACAGCCTTTATATTATATTGGGCATCCTGCATGACACAGACTTGATTTAGGTTATACAGGAGAATATGTATAGTCTCAATGCAAATAATCCATTTCATGTAAAATTTGTCCAGGCATCCTTGGATTTTGGTATCTTTGGTGTCCTAGAACCAATCCCCTACAGAAACTGAGAGATGACTGTGTGTATATGTAATGAGGATTTTACAGACAATATTTATTCAACACTCAATTTATTTAAATGCTTTTGATTAAGTGCATGGGTGCATACGTGCGTGTGTGTGTGTGTGTGTGTGTGTGTGTGTGTGTATGAGTGTGTGCATGTGTGCACATGAGTGCATGAGAGAGAGCGAGAGAGAGAGAATGTGTGTGAGTGTTCACATTTATGAGGATGAGAGAGAGAGAGAGAGAGAGAGAGAGAGAGAGAGAGAGAGAGAGAGAGAGAATGTGTGTGAGTGTTCACGTTTATGAGGATGCCCAAGGAGACTGGAGGTGTTGGATCCTCCGGAGCTGCAGTTCTATGGATTTGTGAGCTGCTTCCTGTGGGTGTGGGGATTGAACTCAGGTCTTCTGGATGATGTACACTGTCATAACCACAGAGCCATCTCTTTGGCCCCCAGAAGAGTTACTTTTTTATTCCGAGTTTTTATCCAAGAAACAAGTTCAGAAAATTGTGCATGGCTTGAGAGTCCTTGCCTAACACTGACTGTCCTATAGTTTGTCTGTTCTGACTTCTGTCACTGCTGTTGCATAGTTCTCTGTGTGTTTCCATCACACTGTTGAAATGGAACTTTGATCCACTGAGATGCTGGGATGTTGGAGCCAGGAGATGTGGTAGCTGCTCTTCTTCTGCAAAAGTTTAAAAATTAGAAAAGAAAGAAACCATGAGATGGAACATGAACTAGGAGATACATTAACTATAGAGTTATTACAGGGGGGAGGGGGAGAGCAGGAGAGACGAGAGAGAGAGAGAGAGAGAGAGAGAGAGAGAGAGAGAGAGGGAAAGTAAGAGAGACAGGGAGAGTGAGAGAGCAAAGAGAGAGGAAGCCAAGAGCAGAGCAGAGAGTAAGAAGAATTAGTGGTCGACCACCAGAAACAGAGGTGTTGTGTGGCCATGTCATGGTTATGTCACTCATTACTGGACTGGAGTTGCATAAGGACTCTATGCATGTGCAAGCTTCCCCTTTTAAACGTGTACCTCCACGTTCTCTCTCACCTTGCCCCTTCCTTCTTCCTCTTTGCTCTCCCCCCTTTCTCTCCCTTTGTCTCTTCCCCCACCCCTGTGATAAACTCTATGGTTAATGTACTCTCTATGGTTCATGTTCCATCTCCATCTCCCACCTTTCTAATTTTTAAATTTAAACAAAAGAACAACATTGCTTTTGCAGAACAACAACAGTATCCTTAATCTCAAAATTGCGAATACCCTCAACACCAAAACACCTGAACGTGCATATGAAACGAGTGATTGTTTTCTTGTTATTTACATTTGGGATCGAACTGTTCCTAAGACACCTCATTCTAATGTTACAGTCCCAGTTTTTTTATAACACCTTAATTTTTATAGTGAGTTAATTGTGTTTGGGATTAAACCAGGGCTTTGCATAGTCACAAGCCTCTTGGATGAGGGACACTTGGTTTGTAGTGAGTAGAAAGCTGTCTTACGGTAACAAACCAGCTCGTCTGTGCTTTGCACTGTAATCTCCCAGGCAAGTACTAACCAGGTTGATCCTGCTTAGTGTTTGTGGTTTCTGAATTAGTGGTGCTTAATCCATGTTGACACATGGAAAGAAATGAAAACTACTGACGCTGCCGCCTCTTGCAGCCCCTGCTACCTCCCAGGACCTGCAGTGATGAATGCCGTTGACGTTCTGTGTCTGCCACACAGAGCATCTGAATGTTTGCATTCTGACCTCTTCTTTAATATTTTGGTGGGGTAGAGGTGGGGATCTGAGATGGTGGTTCAGCCCCCCAGTGCCAGGGTTGAGCCCCAATCACATACTTCCGGTATGTTGGGATCTCATTTCCCTGGGCCACATGCCTTGTCCCTCCTTCCAGGGTGTTCACACACACTCTGAGCTCCTAGTCATTAGAACTGGTGACCATATGACTTTCCATTGTCATCAAATGGGCCAGAGTTGCGTATGGCTCTGGGTACAGGGCTGTGAGGGAGGCATCTACAGTCTGCTTGGAAAGGTGTCCTTTGTGCATGGCAAATTGTCTTCAAGAGGATGTTGTATTTTGGGAGGCAGAGGGAGCCAGGTTCAGGTATCTCATGCAGGGCTTTGGGCCGGAGTCCTTCCTCCTGAGGCAGGGTTTTATGTATTCCAGGCTGGCCTCCAACCTATTATAGTATCACGGAAGATGACTGGGAACTTCTGATCCTCTCCTGCTTCCACATCTCAAGTGCCGGGTTGACAGGCATGCAACACCTCTCTCAGCTAACACAGCACTGGGAATCAAACCCAGGGCCTCATACATGCCAGGCAAGCATGCCAGCAGCTGAACTACATCCCCAGCCCCCTTAGTCCTTCTCAAAACATACACAGCAGTGGCAGGAACCCCACTTGCTTGGTGTGAGCACAGCCAGGCCTCAGGCTCTGGACCTTGTATAGCAGGAGGCAGGCAATGAGTTGATTCTTCATCTCTTTGGCTGTAAGCTGTGAGAAGCCTGTGGAATTGAAGGAAAACAGAGAAAAGGGAGTGTGCATGTCTGTAGGTATGGGCACATCAGAGTCAGCAAAGGTCTCTGTAGTAGCTACTGAGCTGAGTGAGCTACAGGCTGTACTGGAAGCTAAAGAGAAAAAGGCCTTGTGGGATCGTGGCTTCTAACAGATACTGAGATTACAAACATAGGCATCGTGCACCAGTTTAGTGTATGTGTGTGTTGTGGGGGCGGGGGTACGTACATGTATGCACTTATGCACTCAGAGGCCAGAGGATGACACTGACATTTTATGTCCAGCTCTATCCTTATCCTTGTTCAGTGAGGTAGTCTCTCACTGAATCTGAAACTAGGCTGCCAGCCGACAATTCCCATCTGTCATCCTACCCAGTCACTGGGGTTACAGGTGTGTATAGCCATGCCCATTTTGTGTATGTTCTGGGGATTTGAACTAATGATTACCTGCTGAGCCAAGCCCTCACACGGGTACATTTTTGAGTCACACGATTTCACTCCTCTTTGCACGTCCACCACATAGGCCTGCCAGAAAGAGACCATAACGTGGGGCGGACTGTGAGGGGAACCTGAGGTTGAGGAGTCTGCATTACCTGTGTGCTGGTCTGGCACATGTGCGGCTCTGAACAACTGTAAGATGAAACTGCTAGTGAAACAAACGGTTTAGGGCTTGGGCTCTGTAGTTTGATAAGACTTAGCAAGGGTGTGCGGTGCCCTGGGTTCAATCCCTACTACCACGAAAGAAAAATAAGAAAAAAGAGGGCAATTTTTTTTTTTTTACCCATTTAGCATTTATTAGTTGCTGTGGTAGATTTGTATTGTGGTTTTCTTGCAGCATTCGAGCTCAAATCCAGGTCTCTGTGCTAGGCAAGTACTCTGCACTTAGCTATGTTCCCAACCCTAGCAGTGGCAGAGTTTTTTGTTTTGTTGTGTTTAGCCTTTCTTCATTTTATGTATGAGTGTTTTGACTGAATATATGTGTGTGTACACCTCATGTGTGCCTGGTTCCAGTAGAAGCCAGAAGGTTGCTCTTAGGGCTGGAGTTACAAACGGTTGTGAGCCATCACATGAGTTTTGGGAATTGAGCCCAGGACCTCTGGCAGAGCATCCAGTGCTTTTAATTGCTGAGCCATGTCTCTAGCCCCTGTGGCAGGTTTTTACTCATAGAGAGCACTCTCTGTGGCTGCTGAACTTGGCCCAGGAAGGGGGATACAACACATATGCAAATGAATATACAGCTGACCTGTAGCATTTGTGAGGGAGAGATTCTATGACCTAGAATGTGTAGTTATTAGGAAGTAATAGACCCTGGTGTGTCTCGTCTTCCCCAGGCTACCTCTCTATCTGGCCTCACTTTTCATTAGCCTTGTTTTCCTGCTGGTGAATCTGACCTGCGCTGTGCTGGTGAAGACGGGAACCTGGGAAAGGAAGGTGATCGTCTCTGTGAGAGTGGCCATCAATGACACACTCTTCGTGCTGTGTGCCATCTCTCTCTCCATCTGCCTCTACAAAATCTCCAAGATGTCCCTGGCCAACATCTACCTGGAGTCAAAGGTAAGGTGGGAACATGGTCAAGTTCTTTATTCTGAAAATGGCTTCATAGTTTGCACCTAAGTCAGGATCCTGCTCAGCCTGTGGTTCACTGAACTTCATGTGAACTTTTATTTCTGGGTGGCTTTAGTGTATGTTAGGTATGTAGTCTCTGGAAAAGTTAAGTCTGGTTTAGGACTACATCTATTTAAGTGTTAACTTATTTTTGTGGTGCTGGAGACCAAACCCAGAGCCTGTGTGTGCCAGGCAAGCATCCACCACTGAGTTGCAGCCCTGCACATTTGAAAAATTTTTATATGGAGATGAGGTCTTTGTAAATTGTCCAGGCTAGCCTCAAACTTGTGATCCTCCCACCTTAGGCTTCCAAGGAATGTGCCATTAGGCCTGGCTGAACCCACATCTTAACTGTCTAGTAGGATAGCTGGACCAACAACACTGATAGCAAGCATGAGTCTAGTGTTGACTGTGTCCTTGGCCCCTTGATAAACACCTTTTTGGGGATGGGTAATGGGATCAAACTCAAGGCCTCCTCGTGTATATTAGGCAAAATCTGTACCACTCAGCTCTATCCCAGCCTTTAAAATAACCGACAATAGCAACTATTTTAAGACAGGATCTCACTAAGTTGCCTAGGCTAGCTTTGAACTCACTGCTACCCTGGCTGGACTTGTGATCCTCCTGGCTTCAGCCACCACTGCTAAAGCTGGGATTATGGGCTTACACCTCCAGGCCTGACCTGACGAGCATTTTTAGTGGCTGAGCTAATAATGTCAGCCTCCCATTTCAATGGGAGTAGGTAATGTTAAATCCCTACTTATTGGTAAGGAAACTGAGACATTCACAGAGAGGTCAGGAAGCATGTCCTAGGTCAGTGAATGAGGGCCAGGGTTCACAGCCTTCCAATACCTGTTGTGCCTCTGTGGTGACTCATCCACCCTCTCCTTGGTGGTAGGAATGTTCCCAGCTCTTGCTCCTGGATAGCCAGGGGGACTGGCCCCTCACCTCCATCCTTACCCTCATCACTCCTCTGGCTGTCAATTGTCAGGAGACTGTGATTTCCCCAGTGTCTGCACTTCTGAATGCAGAGCCTGTTACAACGTGACAGACCTGCTATTGCCTTCCTCTGGGACTCTTCTGGCCTGAGTATGCATTTAGCCTGAAAACTGCAAGGCAGCTGGGCTTCCACTGTGTGGTCTTTAAAAGTTGTCAGTAGATGAAAATCTCTGCCGCTAGCCCTCACAGGGCACCGAATGATTCAGTTGGACTCATGAAAATCCTACACATTAGCTGGCCCAATTCTTTCATTTGTAAATTTTGATGACTTTTACACTTAATTTTTGCCATAAAGTTCATCATCTTACCTTTAATACATGAGCTGTACATAAAAGTTTGAAAAGTAAAAGCCATTTTTAGAAGGAAGGATTAAGCTGTCAGATATTAGCTGACCCCAGTGACAAAATGAATGACCCTTTGATGGAATTCTGACTCCTCAGTGCAGGATGTAAGTCAGCGCTGCTTTCCTGTGTCCTGGTAACTAGCTGGGGGTCCTTTAACTGATGCAGAAACTGATAAAGCATCATAAAGACTTATCCCAAGTCACAGATACTTGAGTGACCCCATCCGGAGGCCAAGCAGGAAGACTGTGCTCCCAGCCTAGAAGGTTCTAGACTTTGAACAAGGCCATATGCATCCTGGCTGGGGCTTGTAGGCTGTGCAAGGCACTCAGCCAGGATCTTGTTACTGAACAACAGGACTTAAAAGATCTGATGAGCCTTTTGACATTCTGGCTCTTAAGATCAAGGCCTTGTGGGCTGGGGTGATGCCTCAGCCAGTAAAGTGCAAACATAAGGACCTGGCTCTGATTCCTCCAGAAACCACATTAAGAGTTCAACATCACTTGTTCATAATCCCAGTGCTCAGCAGAGGAGACAGGGGATGAGCAAACCCCAGGTAGTGAGACCCTTTCTCAAAGACAGGGTGGAGTGTAACCAAGGAAGACACACACACCCAAAGGCCTTGGGAAAAAGGCCCATTCCCAGATGAAGGAAACAGAAATCTGAGAAGAAGGGGTACAGATGTAGCAAGGCCTGGGTGGAATGCTCTGGTAGAAATGGCTACCTGCCAAGGCTCTCGATTATCAAGGTTTCCTGGGTGACACCAGGGGAAGGAACAGGCTGGTGCATCTGCAATGCCCATTCCTGTTGGCTTTGTCTTCCAGGGCTCATCAGTATGTCAGGTAACTGCTATCGGTGTCACCGTCATCTTGCTCTACACCTCTCGGGCCTGCTACAACCTGTTCATCTTGTCATTTTCTCAGATGAAGAATGTCCACTCCTTTGATTATGACTGGTACAATGTATCAGATCAGGTCAGTGGGGACATGACAAGGTGTTGCCTGCACAGGGACCAGATCAGTGGGATGTGGTAAGATGCTGCATCGGTGGGCAACAGGTTGGTGGGCAAGGTATTGCTTCAGTGGGGACCAGGTTAGTAGGATGCAGTGAGTGCTCCCTGTTTCTGCTCTTGCACAGTGAATGCTGCTGGGTGTACAGAAGGAAACAGGTATCTTCCCCGCCCCGTGGGAGTTGATGCCCACTGATGTGCAGACACAGATAAACCTGTGTGGTGGAGAAATGAACCCCTCTAATAGGACTCTATTGGATTGCTTTCCAATACTCCATAGTGTTATCAGGAAAAACAGCAAATGCCCAAAAGCATGCAAGTCTAGGTATAAAATCCCACCAGTGCACACAGATGGAGCTGACCTAAGACAGTGAGATAAAAATAAAATGACCTCACTGAGCTAAATCCACAGTGGTTAGTTACATGCATAGTGTCCCTGGAAAAGATGAAACAATGGCTGTAACCTAGCAACCTTGGCCAAGCCTGTCCCACAGGTGCAGCAGGGAGAAAGCTGGGCAAGGATGCTCAAGTCCATGTGCCATTTGAGGAAAACCAGACATAAGATTCCTAGATCTTAAGCAGTGGCCAGTGATAGAGATGTTCGTCATACAGTACACATAAGGTTTTCAAGAGCAGACCAGCAGCACTGGTACAGACATGTTAAAACCATCACCACTGCCCACTTGACCTTTTCATCTTTCCAAACTGAACCTTCGTCAAGCAACAGATTTGGTTTTAACAAGTTACTTCCATTTTTTCTTTCAATCAAGAGCCTAATACCGCCATGTCTGGGGTGTGATGGTTTTGCAATGCTTGTTTTTGGTGGTTTCAATCTTCTGTGCCTTCTTGGGGAAGGGAGACAGCACTGAGCTGAGCCATGGCAGTCTAAGAGAAGTAGGAGACATGAGTGCCATCACCCTGGGGAGGAACGAGGCAGCTTTTGGCTTGACTTACTAGAGGAGCTTGAGGACCAGGTTGTTGCTTAGTGTTTTCCTCCTGGTAATGAGCTGAGAAGCTGCCACATCTGGGTCCTCTCTACTCTGGGACTTTCCCTCCATGAAGCCTCCGTAGCCCTCCCCTTGAGCACTGCCTTGCTCAGGGGACTTTTCCTGGACAAGCTGCCTGTGGTCAGCTCCCATGGAGAACAGGGTGTGGCTATTGTTATGATCACTCTGGACAGACAAGCTGCTCTCCTTTAGGAGTCTGGGCTGTGTAGGGGCTCTGGGTTCATCCCCTGAACTGCAAAAGTAAATGAGTAGCCAGTTGTGACTAACCATCCTAAATGGTTTCCATGTGCCTCCAGCTGAGCCCTGACCCATCACTGTGACTATGTTCCAAAGTGCAGGCTTTAGAGGTTGTTTCACTATTCCTAGAAGCGTTCTCTACCGTGTCCTCTATCACTGGTTGCCTGAGGCCTCATGACTTCATTTTCCCCGCTCTGGAACAGGCAGATCTGAAGAGCCAGCTGGGTGATGCCGGCTATGTAGTGTTCGGCGTGGTGCTCTTCGTGTGGGAGCTCCTACCCACCACCTTGGTGGTTTACTTCTTCCGAGTCAGAAACCCCACGAAGGACCTTGTAAGTACCCACTCTATCCATTTGCTGGCACCCTTAATCCTCCCGAAACCTGAAAGTAGGCTTTTCCCTCCCAGCTTTTCAGTGAAGCTTCTTGCATCCCATTGTGAGGTAGGTCATCCATGACTCTTTCTTAATCCTCTTAAAGAAACTGTGTTTGGGGATTTAGCTTTATTTCACAAAGGAAATGGAAGTTAAGGTACATCTCACGGCCTGGGGACTAGGGATTCCCAATGCCACACAGTATTCGCGTCCTCCACACACACATGCTGCTCTTTTGGCAGAAGATGGAGGGCTGGAGACATGGCAGTTGGTAGAGTGTTTGCCTAACATGCATGAAAGCCCTGGGTTTGGTCCTCAGTACCACATAAACTAGACATGTGATCCTAGCACTGGGGAGACAGAAGCAAGAGGATCAGCGGTTTAGTCATCCTTGGCCACATAGTGAGTTCAAGGCCAGCCTGAGCTACATGATACCTTATCTGAAAGACTATTTTTAAAAAGGGGAAATGGAGACTCACTTTATCCCAGAGTGACAACAGCTCATCAGGGAGTGGGAGAGCAGGGCAGTGGCATAGTAGTGACCATGCTAAAACTACCCACTTGTGTTTGGTCACATCTGCTGAACCAGCCCTATAGTGGAGAAAACCATGTCAAGTTCAGAATCCCCTGGAAGCCTGGCTGCACCACACATGCTAGGGCACAGCTTTGCCTTCCTGAGCTGGAGGGGAGGCAGTGTGAGCAGAAGGGGGCATAGAATGATGCGTGTAGCCACAGCACAGCTCCTGATCCATACCTGGGTAACAACAGCTTGCTGCTCTTCTTCCCTACTCATTTCTGGGTGGTCACTGCTGAGCCAGGCACAGGAAACAGATCAGAGTGAGGTGAGAGGTGAAGCCCAGCATGGCTATGCCTTCCCTGCCCGGATGGACTCCAGCAATGTCCATGTGCATTTTTTGAGAATTCAGTTTGGGGCAAATGGACGAAAGGATCGAGGAAGGATCCTGAAGACCCCCCCCCCCCAGACCATGTGATTAAAGACAGGCGTGTCTCCACATGGACTGTCTGCTTTAGTTTAGTTTGGGGAACTTTTCGTTGTGTTGAGACAATCCTGCTGTAGAACACAGGCAGGCCTCGAGATAAAGCCTCTTGCCTCAGCCTTCCAAGTGCTGGGATTATGAGCATGAATGAGACCATGCCTGGCCATTTGTGTGCATCTGTGAGGAATAAAAATCACTCAGTAACTTCCATTATAAGTGACAAATCACTCAGTAATTCATCATTGGAATTAAGAACTATGGATTTCATTACCCTCTCTCCCTCCTACTGATCCCCTTTGTCTCACCAACTAGTCAGTTCTTTTTTACAAACTGCCTATAAAGCAGCCCCTCTCTCCTCTGTTATGTATTTTGGGGACTGGGGAAGGTAGTTCAGTTGGTAGAATGCTTCCCTAGCATGCAGGGAACCTTAGGTTCAGCCCCTAACACCTGAGAGGCAGAGGGAGGAAAATCTAAAATTGAAGGTCATCTTTGGCTATTAAGGTTGAGGCTAGCCTGGGATACATGAGATCCTGTCTTTTTTTTTTTTTTAAAGTATGCACAGGCTCATTAAATACTCTAGCTAATGACACTACTTCCTCATGCTAGCAGGCAGTTGTGTGCATGGATGCTAAATGATAAAATCTTCTCCTAGAGCAACCCTGGGATGGTCCCCAGCCATGGATTCAGTCCCAGATCTTACTTCTTTGACAACCCCCGAAGATACGACAGTGATGATGATCTTGCCTGGAACATTGCTCCTCAGGGACTTCAGGGAAGGTAAGAGCTGCTCTGTTGGAGAGTGGGCCACTGGAACAGATCAAACTGGAAGACTTTCTCTGCACAGTGCTGTCCTGCAGGGTCAGGTTCACCGAGGGAAGTAGCCAGGTGTGAGAGAAAAGTCTATGAAAGATTCCTGCCCCCAGCAGTTTTCCTACTCAGTAGTCCATGGAATGCTTAATAGCTGTGCTGATTTTAAAGAGATCAACCTTTACTTATAGGACTTCTCCGAGCCCACCCAGAGAGGGCCAGGGCATTTGCTGTTCGAATCACTCAGTGGAACGTGATCTGGGACATCCAGGCAGACACCTCGGATCCTCTTCTAAAGCCAGAGAATACACGAACAATAATCACTAGTGTGAATATACTATAAGAACCAAAATTTGAAATCTGTCATTCTTAAAGTTATTTACTAAGATACTCACAAATGTCACCTCATTCAGTGTTTGCTACAACCCTATGAGGTCAGTATAATGGAGTTCTCATGGTTTAAGACCTGTCTGTGGGAGTCCCTTTGCTGAGTAAGCAGCGTGGCTGGCCCTGGTGCACACTCAGTGCCAGAGCACATGGGAATTGCCTCCTTTCTTGAAAATTCACTAGTGGGGTGGGCACTTACACATGGCAGCATTTACAATGGTGTGTGTGCTCAAGACAGTAAAGAAGCTGTGCCTAGCTGCCTTCAACTAGTTCTAGAGTCTGGATAACAGCTAGGAAAAAGAAGATAGGAAGCGCCTGCCTGCAGGGCCAGGAGCAGCCCTTGTGGCTTTGGTTCCTCCTCTCCCTGTGCACGGATCTGCCCAGTGCTCAGAAAGCTGTGCTTGCTTTTCACTCTGTATAACTAACAGTCAAAGTCTTTGGAAATGGGGAAAGTGCTTTGAAAAGACCTTAGTTTTGGGATACAGAGCTGAGGCAGAACATATTACTGTCTCAGTGGGTAGGGACATCATATACTCCCTTCCCCCATTATATAAAAACCAAAAACAAGGTAGCAGTTAGGGAAAAACACAGAGCAGTCATGTGTAAAGTATAGACTCTGGAAGCAAGCCAGCACACAAAGATTTCTCAAGGTCAAAAGATACCCTCCCAGATTTTGAGCTCCACTTCTTCCTAAAATTGTTCTCTTATCTAGCTATCCTACCAGAGCATCACTAACCATCACTTGCCAGATGTTACCAAGAACAGAGGGGGGGGTACTCACCCTGTACCCAGAGGGAGAAAAGACCCTTTTCCATAGAGGAAAATGAAAACAGTGTATTGAGTTCTTATATCTTAAATACTGCTCTTGAAGACTTTTGTATTCACTCAACCCTGACAACAGCCCAACAAGGAAGTTACTAATGTCACTCCTGTCCCACAGATGAGGAACTTGAGACATACAAGTTATCTGTCCAAAACACATGGGTAGTGAACTATAATAGCACCTTAGAATTCAGATACAATTTTTTGCTAAAACTATGTTTTCCACAGTGGCTAGTTTAGGTCCTAGTAGTTCCAAACTTCTGAACTCTTCAGGGTTCGGTAGACTTTAAAACAGGCTGCCAGCACTGTGTTGGTGTAGCTGGTGGGGAAATGGGCTTCAAGACACAGCATGAAGATCTCAGGTCTATTGCTAAACTACACAAGCCACATGTACACAATACATTGTGTCAAGCTACTGAACTGGTTTTGTTTGTTTGTTTAAAGTTTTGCTCCAGACTACTATGATTGGGGACAACAAAGTAACAGCTCCCTGGCACAAGCAGGACTTTTGCAACAAGACTCCACTTTGGATCCAGACAAAGCAAGCCAAGGGTAGCACCAGCTGACTGTCCTAAGGAAGAGTCCTCTGTTGAAAACCTTCAGCCAGACAGACTGGATGACAGCTGAGTTTTTAGGCACTTTTCCTCATGAAACGGGACTTCAGTTTTTTGCTATAGCTTTCTCATGGCTAGATAGGACTGAGCGATAAACCCTCACTTTAGTACTAGCAAAGAGCCTGGCTATTTCAGTGGGTATAATTTAAAATTTTAAAAGAGATTCTGTACTTTTATAAAGATGTATTTTATATAACTTAAATACTAATACTAAAGTATGCTAGGTTTTTCCTTGATTGTTATTGCGATGTATGTTGTAGTTTGCACAGATTTTCATGCATAATTCACTTTAAAACGTATAGCATACGTGGTCTAATAGTTTAAAGCTTTTGGACAAAAAGTTTCTTCAATCCTTACCTCTGAAGGTCACTGAAGGTCACTGTGATTGTGAGCACCACATTGGTGGACTCCTATAGCTGCCACTCCAGTGTTGAAGGTTAACAGGAAGCAGCGAACTACGGTGTGTACATGACTGCCTCCACAGTAGCCATTTTGTATAGTTTTCTTCAGCCCAGTGTAACTGAATACTCACTACCTCAGAAGGATGGCAAGACTGCCTTCCCTGATTCAGCCAGTGCTCACTATAGTCAACCAACAGGTCCCTACTGAGTGTCAACAATAAATATTTCTGGCCCTTGAGCTAAAGGGCTGTGGATTCCTGACAGCTTTTCTCTAAAACATATCTGTGATTTGTATGAGACTGACATGGTGTTCACTACCTGCTATCTTTAAATAGTGTGTATGAAAAAGTGGGCTCTCCCTATGTGGTAGCAGGACCCCTGTCTCAGCCAGAGAACATTCCAGACAGTGATCCCCATGTGCACTGTCTCAGGGTTCCCCTGGGCATGCTCTGGAACCAAAATGGTCATCCTGGAGGCTGGATGCTCTGGCTTCTCACAAACTGCATCGTCTGGTCACCAGAGCCAAAAGACAAGTCTCTCACAGGCTATAGCCCACTTCACACATTACTCCTGATGTCCTGGAGTTTAGGAAAAACCCATCTTGGGGATTTAATAGGGACAAGCCCACTCCCTATTTTGATGTATTTAAGATTGGGATTCCAAGTTTCAAATGGGTCATGATTGGGTTTTCATTGTATAGAACACAAAATTGACCCTGCGTAACCCCTCACCATATCTTTGCTTTTGAGTACGAGAAAACATCTGGGTTACAAGCCATTTAAAATATTTATTTGTTAAAAAAAATTGTTAGGCAAATTCTACACAAGTTGCCTAGATCAGTAGTTTACTATCAAAGTGTATAAGACAGCCTATGACTATACCTACAACAATTTGGCTGTTGCAGCCAGTGCCCACAGCCCCTGTGTCCTTGTCTCCCATGTCTGTATCTGTCAGCAGCCAAGGGCAGGGCTTTCTGAAAAACACAGCATCATCAAGATAGTTCTGTATGCACTCATTTTGTAGCACATGCACACTTTACAGTTTGTTATTGTCTATAAGAAAACAGGCACCCAGCATAAACCGACAAGCTATATGATACACTTTTACGATAAAGTTGTCAGCGTTCATGTCAGCTATTTATTTATTGGAAAGGACAAAATGATATGTCTATTGAATTTCACTGGTTCTAACTCTCAGATGCTGTCACCACAGGCTGGAGTACAAACACGGTGGCTGTGGTTCTCATGCAGGGAAGGAGGTCTGAGTTGCCATTGAGCCTTCTCCCTTACTTCCTCTGCTAATAAAACTGCTCCCAATGTGTTCGATTGAACCCAGGGAAAGAAAAGTTCACATTTACAACATCATGAAATTAAAACCCTGGTAATATTAAAGCTTAAAGTGCACAGGGCCAAGCATGGTATTATGCTTTTAATCCCTGCACTAGGTCAAGTTGGAGGCCAGCCTGGGCTATAGCAATACTGAGATGAACAAGTACATGGGGCAGAGGAATACCATTGAAAATGTGGTAAATGTGGTATCAGCAGTGAGGTCTGCTGTAATTGATGTCTGCTGTAACAAGGACAGGACACACACATTTCTGACCGCTGGAAGAGTCATTTGCACACACAGCTAAGAATTCTGGCCAAGCCATGCTCATACCTATCATCGACTGGCACATATTCCTTTAGACAGTTGACATCTGAGTGTTATGAATTGTAAACTACAAGTTACTACAGCGTACATCCCAGTCACATTTAGTTATTTATTTTTTTTTAATTTTCTGTGGCTGCAGTAAGGATGGAATCCCGGGTCTTAGTCATACATAGCAAGTGCTCTACCACTGAACTGTATCCTCAGCTCTAGCAACTCTGTCATGACTATGTCAGACATACTCATAATAGCTGTTCTGGTCCCATGTTTATCTGTGTAGACCAGGTAAACCCTAATGGCTCCCAAATTCCTCCTTCACTAAAACTCAACTGCTTTTTGTGGACAATATTGTTGAACCCAACACTGGATACCTATGAGAAGTAAAAGAAGCATTAGTCACTATAGGTGCTTCAGAAGCACCATAATCTCATTTGGATCTACAGAGTGTATTGCAGAATATTGTGTACCCGTATGCATGTGTACCTGCACTGTGGCGATCAAATTCAGGCCTTACAGCTGCTAAATAAGTGCTTTGTCACTGAGCTACATACATTCCAGCCCGTTTGTTCTACTATAATGTTACAAATAATTTATCAAAATTTACAAGCCAACTATTTTAGAAAAAGAATCCTACTTTCACTTTATCCAGGATGTATGAGCTATTCACAACTTCTGATGGGACCAGATGGGGAGCTACAAAAGGAATAGGCTCAAGTCAAGAGTTCTCAGCAAAGACTAAACTAGTAAGACAATGAGAGAAAATGTCTTAAATGGGACTGTAAAGACAGGCCAGGCAATTCAGTGTCTACTGGGTATCTCTGCTGTACTATGCCGGACTGGGGGTTGTCATGAGTTTGGATTTGAGACCATAAAGAGAGGATCACACACATTAACTTCCTCTTACCCTCTCCCAAAGAACAAAATACCTGGTACCTGCTGTGGCCATTCCTATGCCCCAAACTATTGGGCTCCCATACCTTTGCCTCCTCCTTGCCCTGGGTAGGTTTTATGTTCAGTATGAACTCATGCAATCTAGGCTTCTGATCCTTGGATCCAAATGAAGGGTGTTGGCAGTTCCTACAAGCATCCACATCTGCCTTCTCCAAACCTTGATCTGCCCCTGCTGTGTTTTTTGATGTAGACATCTTACCAGTGGTGGCTTTTTTCCCTAAGCCTCATCTGGTAACCCTCAAATTCTGATCTTCTATACTCTTTAGCCTAAGTTAGAACTGGAGTTTAGAGACCCACTTTATTCAGTTTATATGAGAAGGATGGCCAGAAAATGGCTTGGCAAGGTCCTGACTGGCAGCTGTCAGACGGCTTTCCCCGAGTCAGTATGCTGGCAGCATCAGGAGGCTACCTGTATTGCTGGAAACATTTTTAGGTGGCATAAGGCCTCAGTGGTATTTTCTTCAGGTGCAGTCTTACTATAAATGAAATGGAATCTGATTGGGCTGTGGAAGGCTGAGCTGTGTGGTGGCAGGAGTGTTTGTTCACTCGTTGCTATATTCCCAGACCCCAGAAGAGTCGAATCCCATTCTTTTCATAACTGCCCTTAAGTAACTTGCACTTGCACTTTTTACCAAGTTTAGCACTCGCTGAAGGGCTCCCCCACTTATGAGTCTTTAACAGATACCCAATTTTTGAAGGTAAGCCCCAAATCATTCTTGGGGACTTTGTCTTACAAGGTGAACTGTGACTTCATGGGTGCTGTGTCATAACTCTATAAACTACTCCATTTAGTGAAAATACTCACAGAATTACCACAGGTAGTTAAGTCTAAAAGGCTCTTTTCCGTGTCAGGCCGAGATAGAAGAATAAAGACATCAAGAGGTTGAAAGTACCTTCACATCTAAGGATGTAGTTACTGTAGGCAGAATGCTTGTCCATGTGTAGAAAGCCCTGGGTCTAATCCCCAGCACAGCGTAAAATGGGCATGATGGTTTATACCTGTGATTGCAGCACTTAGAAGCTGGAGATAAAGATTAGAAGTGGGGATTTGAGGTCAGCCTGAGACCCTGAAAGTAATGACAGGGAGAGAGACCCCCCCATACACAAGAAAACAGCCTAACAACATTCTGTCATGCTATAAGGATTTTTCAAAGCTCGTGTGAAATCAAACAGATTCTAGGAAAAACAAATCAAAAGGATACAAGGAAAGGAATGAGAGGGTGTGGTCAATTTGGACACATTAGTAGTAAACTCTAAATCACCAATAATGTGTTGGTTTCACATTAAGGAAAGATCAAAACTCTCTCCTTGGTGTCATTTAACCAAGAGTGAGCCCAGTTTGAATTTTCTGTTTCATGCTGCCTGTGCCTTCTGTCCTCATCCATCCTATGTGTCTGTTATATCAGTCTAAATCTGTGCCTGCCTGAAGGCTGTCTTGTAAATCCATCCCTGTGTGTTCATCTCTCACAAAGGGCTCTGCTCTTATTGAGCAGCACAGAAGGCATCACATGGGGAAGGAATGAGAGATACTTAACAGAAATGTTTAACAGAGTCCTACAAGGGATCAAGTCACAGACTCCAATTAACCCCAACTGACCCAGATAAACAATAATGTTTGAAATACTGTTATCAAGCAATATTCAAACGTTGTGTTCAACATTTATGGTGGATATTCATTTTAGAAGACTGTTCTCAACTTCTGTATTTGCTGTTTTCAGCAACTGATACACACACATGCATTACTCTGGGTCAAGAACATGGAAGAGTATATAACTTAAGATTATGGTTATACATTGGGAATTCCAAGGGCAAGTAACTGTTAACAATGTTCTCTTAAAGGCTGGTTAAACAAACAGCCAAGTACACAGTAGGGATAGTAATCTTAAGTCATAAATGACCTCAGTATACTGACTCTGGCCATGAGGTCCATCAAAACTTCTAGTCCAGTCTCTAAGAATGTATACTTTTATAATATTGCATCACCACAATAAAGGGCAGAGGACTAATATTAAATATTTAATTAAAACAATATCTACTGGTACATATAGAAAATGGACTGATGAAATGGAACAGAACCTAGGTAAAGAGCTAAATCCATAAGAATATCAAGAGATCTGTCTTACCTACATGTAGCCTCCAACTAGTCTTAGAAAAGATGGGCCGTTCAGGAACAACTAGGTTACCCTCTAGGGAAAATAAGGTTGGTTTCTTAACATGTATTTTGTACTAGGATCCATTCCAAAGAATCAGAATTTAAAAATGAAAAGGCAAAACCATCAGTACTTCAGAAAAAAAAAATACTAGTGGATGACTGCCTTGGTCTGAAGTAAGGAAGACAAGTCTATGAGCTGATACAAAAATCGCCAAAGAACTGGTACTTGAGACCATAAAACAGCCTGGTAAAACTATTATAGCAAAGCCAAATAACACATAGGAAGAATATGCTACTCATCACACCTGAAGGATTAATACTCCTAACAGGTGAGGTTCTAATAACCATGTGGTAAAAGTGGACAAAGACCACGAAGCAGAGTCAAAATACTCCTTCATATATTAAAAGTTGTTCATTTTATAGAGAAAAAACGAATATTTTATTTTATTTTTTATGTTTGGTTTTTTGAGACAGTGTTTCTCTGTGTAGCTTTGGAGCCTATCCTGGCACTCATTCTGGAGACCAGGCTGGCCTTGAACTCACAGAGATCTGCCTGCCTCTGCCTCCTGAGTGCTGGGATTAAAGGTGTGCGCCACCAATGCCCGGCTTCAAAAAAATGAATATTTTAAATTTACATTCTATCAGAATGTTTAAGTCTAGCATTCAAATACCATCTCTGATATATGATGATGTTGGTGAGCAAGTACAGTCAAACTGTAGGTGGTGTGTGGCCTGAACTAGCCTCTGTGCAGGGCAGAATCTGAGCTAGTGCCTTTTAAAACTCGAAGTGTGTGCAGTCTTTCACTTTACTGTAGAAATGTACATATACAAACAGGACATGGGATATGGACTAGGTCCAGAAACAACCCAAATGCCCAAGAATGGTAGTGCTCACTAAATGGCACAGCCCATAGTAAGGACTCCAAGTAACCACTAAAGTAAAAAAGCTATCTGGTAATATGTGGCCATTGAAATATTAGGTGATAAAAAACAGATAGTGTGTATGTGATGTCACTCCAAGTAAAGATAGAGGAAAATAAGTCCTTATATTTGTCTATGTTGGCATATTTTTTTTAAAGGTATGGTTAGAAATACAAAAAGCCAAGGGGAGAGGGTGTGTGTGCACACTGTGGAAAGCTGGGAAAACATTGTACTTTTGGTATGAAATGTGTTTTTTAACCATATGAATGTACCACCTATTCAGAAAGTTAAATAAAACAAGCTTTTTAAAAAAAGCCTATGGCTCAATCCAAATCAAAGGATACCAAAGTTCTTACATTTTGATAGAATGGTAACAGACCATTACAAAAAATGACACAGATGGCCCACATTATCAGGAGAGGCTCTTGAGCCATGCGTTCTGAGGGCACTTTCAGGCTCCACCACTGTGAGCTGTGACTACGGCTGAGCCTCAGAACCCATCTGTTTTCATGCTTTAGTAAACAACTGTGCTAGTGAGGAGCTGGTGCATGTGGAGCCCTCAACACTGCCATCGTGACTACAAGAAGAGTCCCCTCAGACTATGCAGACACGTGTTTTCTCCCTGATTCATACATTATAATCACATTTCCTTGAAATGGAGAAGGAAAAAAAAAAACAAAGCAACAAATGATTGCAGAAACATGTATTTTAATTCATGGTCTAGATTCTGGTGGGTACAACAGTAAATTATTTGGAATTCTGCTCAGAAAACTCAAAGCTGCACCTGTAAATGTCATTTCAAATAAAGGACATGTGGATTTCTGTGCTTGGCTTGTACTAAGGGATTTCCATGACACCGTGTACCTGGGTCTGAGCCTTTTGGTGACTAACTATGGCTTCTGCAGGAACTTCAGTCTGCAAACTGCTGAAAGGCCTACTGTGAACTGTTTCCAGATGTCCAGCTGAAGGCAATGCTGAGAAGAACAGCACAGCTGTCCTTCCTTATATATAGTGGCACCTAGGCAGAGTCAAGAAATACGGCACAGCATTTCATACACACAATTCAGGGGCCCAACATTTGACTTGTCAAGTTTCAAAACTGAGGTCTTGTTGTTTTGGCTCCACATAAGCAAACCGAAGGAATACTGAACACTGACCATTTTAGTATGTATAATCTGTCTCACACAGATGCCATTAAAGGAAAACAAATGTAGGCCACCAAAGAAAATTACTTCCACTCCTTTATGTTGATTATGCCATCAGGTATAATCATTTCCATCAGTTTTGCTGTCAGGTGCTAGATTTGCACAGTAGGTGATGAGACACGGACAGCAAGCATCTTGTTGCTCAGTTGTCAAGCACTCGAACTGTGTGAGCAGTGCTCACATTTTCCCCCAGCATTGTTAACAGAACTGGCAGACAGCCTCCTAAGGACCACTCATCACCAGGGTCAGCAAATGTCCTACAGTCCTCAGATATCATGGAAATGTAGATCATACACACAATCCTAATGTATGTAAAAGTTACCCATGAATATCAACTTCAAATACTTCCTTTACTGAGGAAATTCAGTAAAACCATGAATACATTCTAACTTAACCATATCTTTTCAATTCCCTAGAACACACTCTAATACTACTGTGTGTCCTAAACTTGAAACAAATCACAGTTAAGAAAAAGTCAGCAAGTGGAAATGAAGATTTTTTTTTCCCTTAAGCAAGTAGTTTAAAACAATAGCATTTAACTGTAGTAATGGTAAGTGACATTACCAAAATGACCTCTGCATTTAAAATAAAAATAGACAAAGTGCAAAATTTTCACATTTCCTTACATTCTAAAGGGACACTACAGAACACTTCTTACTGATGTACTAGCAAAGTCACTGCATTCACTTTGTAGACTTTTTGCTTACAGTGGTCCACTCCTGTCACATGGTAACACTTGCAACTCTTTAAAAATAAAAAGCAAAGAAAAAGGAAAACTGAAACCCTGCCTAAAAAATAATCAACCTATAAAATTCACCTAGCAACAAAACATTAAGTTTATAAAGGTTAGAAATTAGGAGGGGAACAAACTAGTGAGGCCTCAGTCCCCCATCACACCTCCACAGTAGATGACGAAGTATTGAGAGAGCACAATGAACCAACTCAGTAATCTGGCACACACCATGAAGTACAAGGAACATAGTTCAGACTTTGGCAGATAAGATGTGGGTTTAAGAGCACTTACTGTTTACTTCAGAAAGACGGAATCTAAGGAGAATCAAAACTTTGGACTCACATTACTTCCACACAGATAAAAACCTTTCAAGTAATCCCATTATCCACTGCCACCTTTAAAAGATTTAAAATATTTAAAGACTTTAAATCCCAGGTTTAGAAAATGACAGTCAGGGCCTTCAAGTCCTCCACTGTCTCAAGTCACACCAAGGACAGCTGATCTGGGATGAATTGAAAATGGAGTGGGGGTGGTGACACTCCTGCCGAAGCATCTCACCAGATAGAATCACACAAAGAGGTAGAGGATTGCATAGATTGTGTTCAAAATCAAATATTGAAAATGCTTACTTTAAAACAGCAAAATTTGTGTATAATGCAATTAGCATTATAAACCCATAGAATCCCATTCAAATTTTTGAATAAACAATCCATTAAATAAATAGGGCTTTTCACAAAATAACTGAAAATATTTATAACTAGGAGAGGAACAAAGAGAGAAGTCAGAAGAAGGAGTTGTAGGCTTTAGGTAAAGGACACTCCACTCTTGAGCCAGCCTGGTGTACACAGGACATCTGGCCAAGTGAGCATGGGTGGACACTTACCCACCTTCACCAAGGCAGGTCCTTTTAGGCCAAAACCAAAGCAGCAACGGCAACTAAACATCTTAAAATGTTTGAAGTCCTGGGAAGTCATCCAGAACCTCTCTCACTAGTCACTGAAAGGCCTATTCATTATAGTGACAGCCCTGCCTTACAGAAGATGACACACAGTGTTAGGCAAGGCTGAAACACTAACTACAGCATTGACAAATTTCTGTCACCGAGACCAGCCCTAGGTAGCACTGGTTCCCTAGTTCTTTTTCTATAACAGAATGAATAGTCTTCTCAGGATAGACACAGTCATTTAAAGTTTGACAAACTAGGAATGAAGGGTAATACAATACAAACAAAACCAATGTGAAACAAACATGGGATTAGTATAATTTACAATTTTAAAGTATATACTTCATTTATAAATATCTCTAATTGACATTCTATTAAGGATCATAAATATTCAAGTGAACATTTGAATTTTCTCTTTAAGAGTTCAAAATTCTTGAAGTCTTAGACACTTTGTCTCTCTGCTCAATGTCCAAGGCTAAAAGGCTTCACACAGTCCATTATGTCTATGGAGACATAGAAAAGTCTTCATTACCTCTTGTGCTGCAATAACGCTTTAAAGTTCTGTAATTCTTTTATGCTTGTAGAAAGTCTACAGGGGGAAAACAAGTACATATTAGTGCCGACATAATGTGCAGACATTTCCAAATAGCTGATACTGGACCCTTAAGCTATATAACCTGGAAACAAAAATCTAAAAGAACCAAACATTGAACATTAAAATTCCATTTTAAATAACTCCTATTAAAAGTGATAAATCATAGGGCTTTGGTTCTTTGGACTTGCTTAGAAGGGCAAAAGAAGCCAATTCATCTTCACATTAAGACCACTGGTGAGAGTCAGGAGTGGTTGGCACTCAGGAGGCTGAAGCACCTAGATCACTGAATTTGGAGGCAGTTTGGAGGTCTACAAAGTAAATTACAGGACTGCCAGGGCTACAGAGAGAAACCCTGTCTTGAAAACAAGACAATAACAAAGACTGTAAATGAGTGATATAAACAGTGCCATCAATGGCTCACAAATATATGTTGTCTCCTACACAGTCCCTCCCAACTCACATTTATGGCATCGTGTAAATGATTACTAGCTCAATGAATAAATAAAAACCTAAACCAGAAATAAAACTCTTTATAAGAGTTGCCATAGTCATGGTGTCTCTTCACAACAATAAAACTCTAAGACACACAGCTAGCAGGTGGGTTCTGAACAGGGAGCCAAGGTTTGCTGAGCTGTACTGCCAGCAAATAGCAGGCCACGATCCCAGGACTCCAAACCCTGTCAACTGGCCAGCTCCCCCTAGAGGGAGAACAGGCTCTAGATAAAGTTGGCATTTCTGAGAGCCAGTGAAATTTTGATGAAATGTTCAGTTTAATTTTTCTTTCTTAATTTAATTTTGTTTGAGCTTAAAATGTGTAAGTTATTTAAGATCTTTTTATTTCAAATAATTTATATTTAAATTATATTTATATTTCACTTAGTTTCTTCTGTTATTTTTCTTTAGATGTCAAAAATGTGTAGGCTGAATGTTTCCTGAGATGTAAAATACCATCAGCTGCTAACTTGGGGGTTGTATCTCAATTAGCACAAACATCTTTATCTACAGAAAAGAGTTGGGCACAGCAGCTCACACCCTAGCATCACTCAATTCCAGGTCGGCTTTCATGAGAGCAAAACCCTGCCTAGATAAAAATAAGTATGTGGAGGAAATAGGTGAAGGCTTGGCATTAAGACGGGACATATCTAAATTATCTTTAAGAGATCAGTCTCCTTTGAACTTAAAATCATACTCATAAAACATACACATTAATCTGTCACTTGGTTCCAGTTTAAAAATAAACTTTCTCCCATGATTTGACTTACTTTGCCCTACTGTTACAACACAGCATATTATTTTCTATGATTCTTTTCCTTCTACTCTTTAATCCTCAACACTACATAAATTTCTCTGTAGGCAAATTCAAATTATTTTTAAAACCATTTCTGATATAAGAAACAAAGTGTGTGTGTGTCTACTTTTCTGATATATATGTGCATATATATCTCATACGTATGTATCTCATAAATATATATGTATATCAGAAAAATGGGGTAGGAATGGATGGGAGAGGACTCCTGAGCTTAGGCAATACAGAGCAGAGAAAGGGTGTCATGTCTTTACCTTCCCCATCACATTTTCCTTCTGTCTACTACAGTATACAGCAGGCAGTAGCCAGCTAAAGAGAATATTAGGAGACTATTTCCCTCATGAAATTGAGAAATCAAACTGGTACTGGAAATTATCAGTTCTTCCTGGGACTGACAGAAACTGGCTGTCAGCCTGGAGGCCACACTGAGCAATGAAGTTGGGTATTTTTGGTTTTGGTTTTGAGATAGGCTCTTTACTACATAGGCCAGGTTGGCGTTGAACTCATGAGGTGCCTTCCTCGACTTCTCAGGCTAGGGTTATGAGTGTCTGCCATCACACCCAGCATACCTTGGGGCAGGGGGAGACAATCTTTGCAGTATACTGAAACCTGTGGGGGAGTCGGGTCTCAGCTATAGGTGCAATTCTTACCTTCCAAAAGCATTTAAAAGAGCAACTATTTCCTGCCGAGTAAGCTGGAAGCCTTTAGATGGACTGTTCTCTGGAAGCTTCTGGATTTCTTTTTCAGAGAATAGTATCTTCAAGGCAGTTCCTAAACCCTGAGTCTAAAGAAAATATTCATAAACTTACAATTAACTTTACACAATAGCTACTATGAAGAACTACTCAGTAAGGACACTGAAAACCATAAGAGGGAGCTGGAGAGATGGCTCAGCAGCTAGGAGTGCTTGATGCTCTTCATCCAATGGCTCATTATCACTTGTAATTCTAGCTCCAGAGAACCCAACACCCTCTAACTGGTCTCTGTGGGTAATAAAAGAGGCACACACACCTAAATAAAAAACAAGACAATCTCTTTTTTTTAAAAAAAAGTATGAACTGAGCCTGGTGTTGGTGGTGCATGCCTTTAATCCCAGCACTAGGGAGGCAGAGGCAGGGAGATTTTTGTGAGGTCGAGAACAGCCTGGGCTTCAAAAACTAGTTCCAGGACAGCCCCCAAAGCCAAAGAGAAACCCTGTCTGGAAAAAAAAAAAAGACCTATGATTTGAGTTTTACAACACATTGCTGAACTATGCATAAATCAGTGTCTATTCCCTCACAAGTTACATGCACAAAACACTGCTCAGGAAAACTTGAGCAATCTGATGCTTGCTGAATGTGTTTCTGTTCCAGATTACTAACATGCCTGTTTTCATCATCAGAACCACAGTATGACTTGTAATCTTGAAAGCACTACTTTTTTGCAGTGTTAGAGGATCAAACCCTGCTGTACCTCAGCTCTATACCCCAGAACCATTAAACACAGTTGTTCCATTTACAACCCTTAGCAACTAAAGTTCCAAGAGTATTCAAGGTGACCCTACATTAAGTTATTTCTCAGCACTAGAGAAAAAGAAAATTTTGATTTCAGTACAGCTGCCTTTAAAATAATCTTATCTCACCAGCACTGTATAATCCCAGCTGATGCAGAAATCACAAATTTGATGATGCCTTGAGTATAAAGCAAGACCCTGTCTTAGAAAAAAAAGGAAAACACCCACATAAACAAAAATTAATTTTGCCTTTTGACTTTCTGTACTTATCATCTTTGAAAGAAAATAAGATACAAAAATCAAATACTCCTCTGTACACTGAAGATTAAGGTCTGCCCTATAGTACTTTTGCATTTTGTGCTAGACAGCCTTTCACCACTGAAACAAACCATGT